AAGCCTTCCGCCTGCCAAGCTAAAGGAGTCAGAACCATCTTGGGCAAGCGAACGGGCGCCGAGTTGCAGCTTAATTTTTGGCGGGATCAGAAGTCTGGCACAGCAAGCCGCTGAAGACAGTCAACAACGGCTTGTCATCATCTGAATCGCCCATTGTGCCCTGGCAAAACAATAAGTCAACATTCCCCGGCACACTCTCCGATCCGCACCGCGCAGTCCTCGCTGGCTCCACGGGCACAGACTCTATGGTAAGAGGAACCCCGCAGCGTTGACACCGGTCGCCCCAACACTTTTGAGTGAACTCTTGGCCACATTGATAACAAATGCCAATGACCTCCAAAGTTGGGACGGCGCAATTTGCAACTGAAATCAATTAGACAAGCTCTGAGAAGGAAAAGGCCTTGTCAACTCCATCCAGCCACACTGTGGCGCGGCAGTCGTCACACTCGTCCGCGGGCACGCGGAAGGGTAGTTCTTTTGACACACAAGGCAATGACCCAAGACCTCATCCTGCATCTGTGCGTCCTGCAATCCAACATGAACAACGATCTTGATGGCCAATGAAAAGGAGCGCTGGTGGTTCGCCTAAGGAAGAGGTCTCTTGCACAGCTGGGGACCAAAATTTGAAACGCAAAGGCGCTGGGCATCCAAATTATGGCCTCCTGCGTTTGCGCGGGGTTTAGATGATGAAGACATCGTTGAAAACGCCCCACGCTAATCCCGCTTCAAGCGCACCCACTGCCCTGTCCATCCTTACACAACACGCACCTGGACCTTCCATTGCGGGGGGCCTTCAAAGAACTACGTTGGAGCATCTGGGCGCGCTGGTGGTTTGCCCAAAAAACAATTGGTCTGGAAAAGAAATTGGCTCCAACCATTGAGATGCAACGGTCCTGGACATCCAAAATTAGATCTCCCGCATTAGCGCGTGGTGTAAACGATCGAGTCACGCTTTCCCCAATGTTCCCTCATCACGCGCGCCAACTGACCTGTCTATCCCTACCGAAAAACACGCCAAAAAGAATCCTAACCAACATGCATACGAAACCCAAAAAGAACTAGGTTGGAGAGTCCAAACCATCACTTTTGATACTAGCACTTCACGAGCACTGGCTTGCACATGCGCGTACTTCCGCCTGCAACACCTGAGATCATGAGGACGCATGTAGCCATCCGGAAAACTTGCCAAGCCCGAGGCGGCTAGCAATTCGCGCAGGAGATAGCGTATCTGTCAATGAAATAACACGAAGCAAACGCAGGACTCTTGGTCAAGCTGCCGGCCTGGCCACCCTTACAGCATCAAAGACTGGCCTAAGTCGCAAAAATTACGCGCGAGCAAATTGCACCTGATTCATGACCGAGGACTGAGTTCAATTGAGCGGGCAGAGGAAGGTATCAGTCCTCCAACACAGTCCGCAATGACCGGAAAAGCTCCACATAGATCACGTGTCTTTAGTATTCGAGCAGCACATGTTCAGCGGCCGCGCTAATACCCGAAAGGTCGACTTCAAGCGACGAAAGACAAGGCCTAACAGAAAAATGTGTGTTTTGACAACATCTGCTTCTATCAATATTTACCAGTGACAACTCAAACAAGCTTTGCACAAAGAAGCCTTGCTGGCAATTTGCAGAGAACGCTGTACGAATAATTCACGACAGGCAGCCGAAAAGTGAAGTCTGCTGCTATGAAGATCTTGGAGCTCTCTCAGGCAAGAGGCTGCAACTGATACAAGAACCCAATCAGCTGCGCAGCCCGGTGAAACGGCTGCTGCTGCCGAAACGTGAGGTCAACGTCAGCCGCGTTGACTGAAGCGACACGTTTTGCAAATGTCTGTTGAGACTCTGGAAATTGCCTTGCGGCAGTGCCTTTTTTGCGCATCCATTGGAAAATCGCCGGTGCCCTGGCTGTTGGGAGGGATCTTCCATCAGCCTTCAGCCACTTCACCAGAGCAGCTGTTGTGGCCTTCCGAAAAGAGGCCATCAACTGCTCTGCACAATCTGCAATCTCATCTGCACTGAAGCGCCTTGCAGCTCTTGCTTTGCACTGTGTCTCCCACATTCGCCAACCTGCTCAACACGGAGCCGGTAGACTCCATCGTCCAAGCGGCCAGTGAAGCGAAACGAGCTGCCCAATCTTGAGAGACACCCCACATGCATATATATCACGAGGCAGAGCACAACCCCACCCACGGGTCGGAGTGAACGTGACTGACGAGAAGCTGCCTAACTCCCACTTGTTCTTGCTCGACCATTTGCGCAACAGATCGTGCTGCGATGCATCCAAGACCAAATCATCCGCCGCCACGCTCCCTTGATATATCTCATAGCACTCAAGATTCCGTCGCTTCGCAAAGGAAGCAGTCATGATGAAGCAGGGCTCTTAGTTACGCGACTCTAAAACTGGCGTGAGGAGCTGGGGCTCCTGCGACACGTTGCTTGGTCCTTCGATGTTGCAGCTTGTCTTACTGTTTGGCGGCCGCGCTTCACGTGTCATCCCTGGCATTCTGCAACTTCGGGCCATATGGACACTGGGAAGAAAGACGGAGGCCCAGGAGACCAATTGTTGACCCTATTGGCCAACAGTGGGGTCAAAAATTGGGCTCCTGGAGCCCAGGCCTGGGAGACCAATTTTGAGCTTATTAGCCAGGATTAGATGCAAATGGGTGCCCAGAACCCCGAACAGTGGCCAGCAACTCGTATCTACTGCTGTTCTGCACTGACACGCATCTAATCTGGAGTGTTCTCTGCATGGACGGACTAACGTGATAAACTGCACACGCCAATTGCTGTGTAGCCAGAACCTATCCGCGTTCTGCATCCTCAATTCTGGTTTCAACTCACACTCGTATACTACGTGGTTATTGCTACGCGGCCACAATCGAATCCGATGTCGGGAATTAAAAGGCGAGTTGGAGGTCTTAGGCCTGCTGCGAGAATCCCTGAGGCGAGTAAGTTCAGGACTTTATCTGAGGTCGGGCTTCCAAAAGTAAGTTCCAGGTCCTAGAACAGAGACTATATGTGTTCGGGATAGGCGTGGCAATCTTAGAGTATAGGTTTTGGGGGGTGGGGTGGTAGCACACATATATATATATTTACATATATATACATATATACATATATAACTATAATATATGTATATATACACACACGTATAATGTGGCATATGCATCTTTGAAATGCAGGTGCTAGGCCGAACACTGCAAGCTCCCCTCTTTAAAGGCGAAGCCAAGAAGCAACGTGCGTTGAATTGAAAGACGAGCTCTCTTGGCTTGCCCTTCCACCTGCGGGTTGAATGCCGAAGTGTTAATATGGTGTTTCAAGAGGAAAGCACATAGAATCCCAGCAAGAGCCTTCGGCTGGGAATTTCGTTGCCTGAAAGGCCGATATGAGCATGGAACGATGCTTCACCGCAGCGCTGCATGTCGGCCTGGGCCACACCAGCTGGCACAACGACCTGCTGACAAAGGCAGATGCAGATCTTTGAACACAGCCGCAGGCGTGGAATTTGCTCGAAGCGCACGCGCTGTGCTGGAGACGCGTCGCACAAGCAAAAGCACTGGCAAGTTTACCGCTGCCTTTGTCATCGGGGATGTATCGGCCGCTCGTGCCTAGCCACGAGGGTGCACACTCTGCGCGGTCCAATCGGTCCAAACCCACTACAAGCTTGAGAATCACTTCCTCCCTCGGGGGGGGGGGGGATGCCTGAATCTGAATGTGCTAAGTTATAGTTCTGGTTCACAATCTTTTTCCTCCAGGACGTCTCCTGCCCCGCACTCTACGAGAAGAATTTCTGGCAACCTGCTTATCACAAGCATCCAGCATCTGCGTGCTGAATGGGCACACTGGCCAATCACACCGATGAAGAGCCTCACTATCAAAAAACTGGAGTGTCAACGTGTGTGGTGCAACTATCGCCCTAAATGACTTGGGAGTTGGCTGCCCGGCAACCAGACCCTGACTTTTCCCAAGCTTTTCAATCGCAACCTTGTGGCACGCCACATGTGACCAGCGTGTTTGTTTCACAGACCTGTCACTGTGACCGAACGTTCGGACCCAAATACCGCAAGGATGGTGGTGATGGTGCTCCAAAGAAGCTTCATTGTTCTTCGGCCGTGCTTCGGCAAATGTTTATCAGAACACGCCTGGGGGGCTCTTAGGCTCATCAACTGAACTTATCATCTGGAAAGTACTCGAACCTGAGCTTGACGTGGCAGATCCACTGCCGTCTCAGCTTTGCAAGTCCGGAAGCGACGGAACTACAATCAGATGCTTGTCATTGCGCAACAGCGGCTCCATGTTCAACACGAGCCATTTGCTTCGTTGACAAATCAGTTGCAATGCTTGCGCTGTTGTACAGCTAACTCAAGTTGCCAAATCGTTACCACCCCTGCTGCTGCGGGGCTCGGTATGAACCTCTAAGTCACACATACAGTGCTCTCGCGCATATCTGCTTCATCAAACAGTTACCACATTTTTGGGATGAATTTCAATCTGGCAGTTGCCATGCCTTTGGAGCCGGCGATTGCCCTGTCTTGTCATGCAATGCCTGACACCACGCAGCTGCCATACTTCTGAAAAAAGCTGGCTCTTGCCTCTTCTCCCGCAGGTTTGCGCAGGCAGCTGCAGAGGCGCTTCAAGCTCATTGCCCAAGCATGGGCAGGTTCAGAGTGTTGTGTTTTGTCATAACCTTTCTGGTAAGCAATTGTAAACTTAGCAGGATGATGAGCGAGTGAAGGTGAGTGTGTTAGCAAATGTGAACTGACTGTGTTTTATTGTTCTGAAGTAAAAGCATCTGAGAGCCTTATTACATGCATTGGCTTGTGGCGAGCAAAAGACTGCCTTTGAGCCTGAGTGGCCATCGTGATAGCCGTCCTGCTCGAATCTCCTGATGGTGACTGTACCACACCAGCAACCAGCAGAACGGGAGTTTGACTAGAACTGCTCAATGGCATGCGCATTGCCTTCGAATTCGCAGCTACAAAAGAGACTTGGCACGCCACTTGCCCGAAGTCACCACGCGTGCTTTTGGAGCCGGAGCCACTAGAGGCCTTGCGAGGCACTTTTCTAACCCACTAGCTGGCTGAAAACACCCTCAAATGCAAAACTCTAAGGCTGGATCGTAGTTGTTGGCATCGTAGTTTGCGGCTTCTGACGGTGGCTGACACTCCGGCAATTGCCCAGCGTTCAAGCACGTCAGGTCACTGAACTCATCATGTTTTTAGTTTTTCCTTCTCCACCTCGGCAGCTGCAATCAGCTCATCGGGATCTGTCTCCCACGCTGTTTGCCATCGAACGAGGTCCTACAAAGAAACTCAAACGACTCACTCTCAAGCACGGATCAGATAAGAGGAGCTGTTATGACGGCCAGGCTTGGAAGCGTCACGTGCACGACAGAAGGAGCTTGATGCGAAAAAGTTGGTAGGACGAGCTAGGAAGCTTGTTGGAGTAGGCCGGCAAGGCAAGGAGGAGCAGGCTCTGAACAAAGGGATAACACATCAGCCAGCGCTGCTCGACTGCCGTATTTTGCACATCATGGGTTATGCTACCTTATGCTTCTGAATCGGGGGAGACTTCAAATATGGCCTGCGTAACTAATCCCGGCAGCCTTGTAGCAAAAGCCCCCAAAATTGCTTGCAGTTCTGGTTGCCACATATTGCCACATTAGGGTGTCGAGAAGACAGTTTTGACGGGCAAGAGGAATTGAAAAGGAACTGAGCATCAGCGCATTGTCTGCTAATCAACAATGGCCTCGGAGCTCAAAGCTTTGAAGGCCAGCTTCTTGTCGCCAAGCTCCACCTTGGAAGCCGATCACGTCAGCGAACAGCGCAGATCTCACTAGCGATCACCGCCGCGATATGTTTTAGGGGGCGAAATGTCACGTCTCGACTCTAGATCGGAGACTTGAGCATGCACCGACTAAAGCAGGCCCAAGGCAATGTCATCTCAGGCTCTTGCGCACCATCACGAGGTCCAACTACGCTACACGCACGCTGGTTGATTCACGGTTCCAGGTATGCGGCTTAGAGCATATGACATGGGTGACGGTAAAAGATCTTGTTTGTAAGCTTCATCCTGGCCTACCATATTTGCTAGCGGCACTGTCACATAATTTGGAAGCTGTCCTGTCAAACGCATGTCGTCGCGGGCAGCTGAGAGCAGCACTTCCATAATGCCACCTTCCAAAACCTTCACAGCTGGAATCCATACGGAGACGTGGCAACGTCAGGGATGATGTTGGCGGAAGGGATGGCGAGACATGGATAGGATGTGCGCTCAGCGGATCATCAACGCAAGCATCAGCTACAGCTGCAAGACACACTGCGTGACAAAACCAGCCAGTTGCACCGCATCTGACTGACTCGATGCGCGACCATACATCTTCCAGATGGGACCGTTTTCTGACGTGTAGTCCACGAGTCCTACTCATCCCGTACTGTTCTCGCTGGATCCTTTTCGTTCTGTGTGAGGTTCTACAACGCCTGTTGGCATGATCTGCAACTCTGTGCGGAGAAAACTATCAAATCTTGATTTCCATGCCCCTGCGGTACTTAGTCTTATGCCCACCTCGAAAGAAGTGATGTCTTCGATCAGGGCACGTGCCCGGGCCGCAACACCTGCAGAGTCTGCCAAGTACGGTGCATGATACTTTCAGCTCAAATCGATTGCTGCAGCCTGTCTGATAATCCTCCTTGCTGCTGAAATACCTGCCAGCTTGGGCTGATGGCACGGAAGGCTGCCAAAAATTCAGAGGGTTCACTCGAAGCAGTCTGTGCGCAAAACGCAGTACCTGCAACAGGCAGAGCTGGGTCTGCCGCGACTGTTGTGTCTGCAGCAGCACATCTGCCATTGTGAAAAAAAAGGATGGAAAAAAGAAAGTCACAAAGGGGCCTTTTGCCAGAATCGTGAGTAAGAAGAACTGCAGTGTCCGATTCCAGATTCCCTTCTACTAGTAAAGAATACTTCTGAGAGAACTACGGCGAAGCTTCAGAGCATGGTTTCCCTGATCGATTCAAACCTGCTGGTCAGCAATTTCTGTTGGCCACAATGCTACTCAGCTGCGCACCTGGTGCATCGTCTCCTCTTGTCTGATCCCTTCAAACATCTCTTGACAAGCAACAACAACAGGTCCTGACTTGAGGTTCCCAAGCAACATCTGCCAAGAAATGGGTCTGAGTACTTGATACATCTCCTTAGAACCCATCTGGATGAGAAGAGCCGCAGGGACAACAAACAGTTTGCGGAAAGCATTGAAAGGCAAATCTACGCCCATTCATTAAGCAGCTCAAGACCAGCCTTGGATCCTCTCTGTTTTTCTTGAGAACGAGAAGTTCGCCTTCACCTCAACAACTGCAAACAAGAGTCTAGTCTAGCTCCCATTCATGGAACACAGATACAATTGACATGAAATGACAGAATTGAGCTTGGCACACAGTACCCTTGGTGCCTGGCCAGAACAAGAAAAGCTAGCTGGGGACATCTGACTTGCAAAACATAGGCTTTAGGTTTTCGCGAATGCTCCAAACCTTCACTCAAGCCATTTAACATGCGCAAACCAGCCGCCGCCACATCACGTGGAGTGGTTCCACCTGAGCACAGTAGGCTTGATAGTCATAGCACAGTTGCGCTTTCAAGCGCTCCGGCACCAAAGATTCAGATGCGCCCGCCCTGCATGAGCGTGCTTGTGATCTACGCACATAATAGTAAGTCTCAGTGGCTGCCAAGTTGCAGGCCAAATCTTCGACTGAAATGTTCTCTCCTTCCCGGTCCTCCCATTCCCCCTGCCGCCTCGCCATTCCTTTTTTGGTGTAACTGGCAAAGGACGCTGCCATTTCTCAGGCGCTCATCTGCGTTGCTTACCGCAACATGCTTTGCTTTCCTGGTGAGGCCCCTCGCATCCACTCGACCATGCAGACCCCGCGCCAGCTAAAATGTCCAGGCCCAGAAATCTTATACACAGATCTTTGCCACTTTGTATCTTAGCTCCGTGCCGCTCACACTGGCACTCGCATGGCCTCCATCGGAAGAAGCTGGCTCTGGAGCTGCAGCGGCACCTAGCGACTTGCGTCGCAAGAACTCTGCCAAGAGGCTGCGATTTTTAATCTGGCATCCGCCAGCATGCGCCAGCTACGTCAAGCCGCTGCCTTCGTCCGCGCTGACAGACGACACGAAATTTGCCTTGGCTCGTCGAAGAGGAGATTATGATGGGCGACAATGGCTCAGCAGCAGCATCCGCTTCCCAAGCTACAACAAGAGAAACAACAGGAGAATATGATGGGAGACAAGGACTGGCGATAATAAGGGAGACAGGAGGTGACTATGGTGGGAGACACGGACGGGCGATTCCCCGGACCCCAGGCGGCACCATCCGGTTCCCAGGCTACAAAAAAGCAAACAAGAGGAGATCATGATGGGAGGCAGGGACTGGCGATTCCTCGGGATCCCCGGCAGCACCATCCGGTTCCAAGGCGACAAGAAGATGCAAGAAGGGAGGCAGGAGGTGATCATGATGGGCGATTCACACGAATTGCAACCGGGTTCTGTTCTGAGTTCGGCCAGTGGACGAGGCACTCCTCTAGGGAGTTGACCCTGAACCCCTTGTAGCTATAATCGTAACAAGAGTAGTAAGAATGATTATGATGGTATGCACAATAATAATCATAGTCGTAGTATTTATAACAGTAACGCTAATAGTAATAGTAATAATACCAATAACAAGACAACTGTTTGGAAAAGCAACAAAAGTTATGATAGTGGTAATAATGAGAATAGTAGGCGTGGCTGGATGTAACGATGTTTCAATGCATGTCTGGATGAAGGACGGGTTATGGAGATGTCACTCGTGCTCAAAACACTTTCGGAACAACTGTTCGAATGATCCGGGCCTCCATGATTACCACGAAAATACGGGAAAAGGCTTCATCCTCCATATTATAAGTAAGGAGCAACAAATGGTGTGGCCTCCATTATTTTAAACAATGAGCAGCAAATTATTTGGGCCTTCAACTAATGGAGGGGAAATGGGCTCAACCTTTATTGTTTGAAACAATGCGCAACAGGCGGTATGGGCCTCCATTACTTCTTCGTGTGCATCCTGCACAAAACCAAGACAATGACAGAGGGGAGGCAGCGGAAGCTGCTGGAGGCAACGTCGGAGCCGCAGCTGCTCCAAAAGCCGGACCCTTGCAATTCCTGTAGACATGCTGCCGGCACATATTGCTGCCGAGCATCCCCCAAGCGCTGTGAGAGCAACTTCTCCAGCGAGCTGGCCCATTGTGAAAACTCCCGGGGACCCTGCGAAGTGCGAAGGAAGTGTGGAGAGGAAATACGTCATCTCTGCATCATATCTGTTAGTGGGCCAGGCGCAAGTGCAGATCTTGCAGTCTGCGCTTGGGGCCTTCGAGCTGTCCACTTGGAACTCTACGGGCTTCTTTTGGTCCCTAGCAAGGCAGAATCCTGTCATGGCCCCATAGTGAACGCATTCTTGCTCAGCTGCCTGACTTCCATTGTAATTCGGAAATCTTTGACCTAATGCACATGACACATGACGCGACCACGACATCCCTACCGCTCCAATGACGTGCAACCCGGTGCGGCACGGTCAATTTCTCAATGTCTGCCAGTGGCATGGCACGGGGCTCCTGCGCTTGCTCACGAATGTTTGAGACCGATGCAAGACATGCAAAACTTCATGTCGAACTGATGGTCTTCACATTCGGCGCACGATACCGTGCTGAAGAGTGCATGGGAACAGTGGGATGCAAAACTGCATGATGTCCAGGCCCTTCTCAAAGTCGGCAGCGGTTTCGTACCGCTCAAAGCCTCACATTTGGGTGGTCAGACTGGAACTTCTCTCAAGCCGTGGACTTGAGATGACAGTGCTGATCAGGGCCCAAAAAGCTTAGAAGACCCTGCCACTCCGCTTCCATGCGACTGGCACGAAGGGACAAAGCTTGTTCTAGCAAAGTCACGCGAAGTCTTCTCTGAGATTGACACTAGTTTGCCGTAATACAAAGAAAGGTGTTTTGACCTGGCCAGGAGGACTCTTTGGAGGCTTTTAAAGACCATGCCAGGCATTGCCAGGCCATGCCAGAGATCACCTGACCCTTGCGCTCAACGTTCAGGTAACCCGAGCAGAGAACCTTCGCAGCCTGTGGCAGGAAAGGCAGCAGGAGCCGCTAGTATCTGCAGGCGTGCTGAAGCTGCTCGCGCTGCAGGATCAACGCATACTTTTCATGGTGTCTTGCTCATCTTGCACCACGCAGAAAACAAGGACGGTGCAAGCCCAAATAGCCTGCGTGTGCGCAACCTTCCTCATCTCGTGGCTACAGTATGAGTGGCGTATGGCCATTGGTTTCCACCGTCCTCAATGCGAGGGGCTCTGCAAATGTGTAGCAGAAGACCCTAAGTCAGGTTCCTGCACAGAACCCGGTGAAACAGATCTTGCACAGATCTTGCCCTCGTAGCAAAAACGCGTCTGTGCCACATAATTTGCAGACTATTTGCAGGTTTAGCTGCCGAGCGTACTGCGATTTTAGCTATGTTAGGTCAAGGTCAACCCGCGTCGGTGCTACTTCCAAGACAGCAAACAAAGCCTGCCTCCGGCCTGTGCACACTTCTGGAAAGTACTTGAGCCATATTGAGCTCACCACCGACTTTGCGCGATCCATGATCTTCAAACCTGTTCACACCGTGTCTTCAAAAGGCCACTGAGGTGGGTGAGGTCTAACCTTCATTGGCTGGGCTGGCGCTTAAAATACAACTCTATGCATACATGCCATGGATATGTTTCTACTGCCACTATGCCTCTCCGCAACCACCATCTTCGAGTGGGCAGGGATTGGACTCCGCTTCTCAGTCCCGCTGAGACACCGAAAGATCACTTAAAGATCTTATGAGCATTATGCCAAACCAAAGTCGGGGGCGCATTCAATTCACAATTTTGTGGAAACTCAAGTCTAAGTTAAGGGCAGAATGCTCCAAGACCTCACGGCGAAGCCTCTGTCGCCCTCCAGGCTCAGTGCTACGGTGTGGTTGCAGTTGTGACATGGGGTTGCAACGGCACTTCCAGAGCTTGAAACAGATGGCAACCACCCCCCCATCCGAACATGATCTCCGCTCGCTGCGGATTGCACCTTGAGACATTTCGCACCCAGCATCGACCAACCGGAGCCCCAGCAGATTCGACACATACGCGCTGCACTTTGGCAGCCTATACGGCCTGGACTCTTGCAAGTATTGCTGAAGCTTCGATTGGACACAAGTAGCCTACGTCGTACTTTTCATTTCAGAGGAAAACCACGCATCGAATTGCGCCATCTTCTGAGGTCTTTTGGAGCCTTGCTTGTCTATCGTACAGAGCTTCGCATACTACCCTTGATCACCAGGCTCAGAAGATTGAGCAGCATGCTTGCAGCATGTACAGCACAATCCAGCAACGAAACACGATGTGCACTCGTGCAGGCTCTCAGTCTGCGCGCTCCTGCGCTGACAGGATTCTGCGAGACTTAGGAATGCCATGGCCGCTTTCCGCCTCATCATCACGCCACATCATGTCCAGCCGACCAGCCGCTGTATGCACTGCGCGCAGAGCTGCAACTGGCTCCTCCTAGAAATGCATGTCAAAATCACTACCCTTCAACAGTCGTGAGTGCGCAGGCTCAAGTCCACAACTAAGTCGTCCTCACAGGCGAGGTCAATGAACCTGACAGGAGTTATTAGAAAAAACTCAACTGCTCTGGGGTGTTCAGGGGCAGAATTCCTGCAAACGTTGCAGCGCAGAAGGCTGGCACAGAATATGGCCGCTTCATCCCAAATAGCAGTCATGCATCAAAAAACTTCTCTCCGACTGCTACTGAGCAACGTGTTCTTCACGTAGACGCCGGTGCCGAAGGTATCTCATGGGAAGGCAAAAGTCGCATCAGCATTGCAACAAGGTGCAAGGGGATGCTAGCAGGCATGCTCACAGATTCCTACGTCTCTACAAACCAGCTGCCGACCATCATGCCTGAAGCCAGCTCGTTCGCTCTTCGGAGCAAAGGGTCTGTTGCGGGCCTCGTGCAAAGCATGATTGCCATACGGTCGTGTGCAAACAACTGCACGCTTGCGGCAACGTTGATACCAACAATAAGACAGGACATACCTGAGGGGCAGTCAAGCTGTTTGCAGGTGCTCTGTCTGACCTCATGGCAACATCGGGATGATCTGTGACTCCTCCTTTCACCAGCACCTGCCCTTACAGTTGACTCTGTTTAGTGGTGGCAGCCATTGCGGTTTCTATCTCATATGAAGCATGTCCAATCTTGTTGTCTGTCTCATATATCTATTTGAGAACTCTGTGTTTCTTCGCTCTTGCTCGTGCCTTTGATTTGCCATACCTGTCCCGACAACCCTCTGGGGTGGGACTTCATTTTATCTAGGGTTTCTGAGCCGGTGGATTGAAAATTCGATTCAGGATTTGCCATCAGCAGTCGCGAGTGAGTGGATGCCATCTGAGCTTGTGCATTTGAAACATGCCGTCGTTTTGACTTCGCAATGTGGCTGTTCAAGGGCGTACATTCTGTTGACACTCTCCGAAGAAGGCCTTAAGTTCTGGCCAATAGGCTAAATATGGCTCAATACACCTTGTGTGTCAGCATGAAGGATGTGGCCACAGAATATCATACCATGTATTCTGTCCGCACATATGAGGCAGGACCTCCAACTTAACTAATATCTCGGCAGACCAGTTCCGACAAGCAATTGCTGAAGAGTGGCTCCGACATCTTCAAGCCCTACAAAGACTCAGGTACAATGAAGAGGGTTTTCTTAAGAAGATTGACGTTATCGCGTGGCTGGAGCGGCAGGGGATGTCCTTGCAGGCAGTTGCCGGAGAGGCACCGTGGCAGCTTGGGAAGCACAGCAAGTATCTTGCCATCTTGCCTTGCTTGAAGAAAATCTTAAGTGGCTGTGCGTGGAGTACAGGAATCCTGCGCCATGTCAGGCAAGGACGGCATGCCTAATATCAGAGGCTATAGCTGAACCAGTGGGCCTTCGGCCAAGAGCGTGGTAGGATTGTTTGTTTCTTTCCGGGTACAAGGAAACCATTTGCCCACTGACAGCATTCGCGAGGATGAAACTTTCGAAGAGAACGTGCAAGTGCAAGTTGATGCTCGGATATCATTCCTTCAAGCAAATGCCAAGAGACGCCTTGAGAGAGCGTTCCGCGCACAGAGCCGACCCCTTCAAGAATTTCAAATTGGGGGTCCAGTGTACCATTGTTGGTGGGCATTGGTTTGGTCCGGCAGGGTGTTGTGCCACGAAAAATTTAGCGATGCTCATGATCACGGAACTCCGGGATCAGTGGTGTGGATTAGTCATGCAGTGCGGCTTTCGAGGTGTAGTCCGGAGCAATTGAGATATGTCACCAGAGATTTCAAATGCCTTGATGACCAGGTTGCGGTCGATGGCGCACGGCTTTTCCATGATATGCTGGCGCAAGTGAGTCAGCAACAGAGATATCTTGACATAATTAACCGGCATGTCCCAGGGCGAACAGACGGATGCAAGTCGCTTGGACGCAAGTAGGCCGCATTTTCGCTTGAGCGGCAAACAACCTTTGCCAAGTGACGCAGCCAGGCAGCCGACTCAGTCCAATCAAAACGAAGAAGCCCAATTCACTACCTCTGCGCCACAGCCGGGCCATCATGGCATCGCGCAATAAGAATCTTCAGAAGATGGCCGCAGAGCTGAATATCTACAAGAGCAGAAAGATCGGAAGCTCCAGCAGTCGACAGTCGACCAGCTCGATTGGCACTGTAGCTGGTGGAAACCGCAACGTACAAAGGACAGGCCTTCCTAGATCTCCAGGCGGACCGATGCTACATGAAGTGCCTCATTAACAAAAAGGAAAAACTCCAGACCGTAGTCGTGAACAAAGTGTTCATGTGCCTTCACCGGGCAATTGTTCTGGATCACAGAGGCAAGGTGGTGACCGCAATGGCAAAGTACACGCAGGGAAGCGAAAGAACTCCGCAAGATCCGCAGGCATCAGTGAGCAGCTCAGGGAAGCCTACCGACCTACCGGAGCAGCAGGAAGAGAGCGAATGGGATGCGGTGCATCAGAGATGCAAGACCTTGTCCCAGCTCGATGAGGGGGAGACCATGTTGAAGGTGACCAGCTCAGAATTTGTGTTACGGCTGTGGTTTCGCGCGCACGGAAGCAGATCAGCATGGGAGTATTGACATGCCTTGAAGGATTGGGATTATGGTTTTGGGCATGGATGCTCTGGTCACCGCGTGCTCTTGGAACAAGAATGGAATTACGGCTTGGGCATGGATGGGATTGTTGTTTGGGAATGGATGCTCTGGTCACCGTATGCTTGTGGAACACGAACGGGATTACGGCTTGGGCATGGATGGGCTCATTGTTTGGGCATGCATGCTCTGGTCACGAGGAAAAGGCGTAACAGGAACCACCGGGTCGTAACAGGAACTTCGTAACAGGAACCAGGAGGACCCTCGTCGTCACAGGAACCAGCGGGCCCCGCAACAGGAACCAGGGTCGCCCTGTAACAGAAACTTTTCCTGGATACTCAAACTTTTCAGGGGGTCTCTCTTCAGCCTAAAGCGGAACTCATTTTGAGAAATGTTCCGATGAGTTGGATACGCCCCACAATCCTGATTCCCAAAAGGATTACAACTTGCTATAAGAATCCCCCAAAGGGGCCGACGATTTTGAGAAGTTCCCAAGTATTCAGTTTCAGTTCTGGGTCCCTTGAAAGAGCGGAGCTCACGAGGGGAAGGTGGCCCAGAAGCCTTAATTATTCTTGCTTAAGGCGCGACAAGGCTTCCTAGCACCCTCCGACCAATCAGGCGGGCCTCTACTTAAAAACTTAATCCCTGATCCAAGAACTTCCCCCTCCCCCCTCCTCCGTGAACTTTCCTGCGCAGTTATCCGCTTTGCATGCTTTTTGTTGAACCCCTTCAGGGATCTGCAGTCTCGGCTTCAGCCTGCGAATACTATTGCACTCTGCATTTGCTCACATCCTTGTTGGAGATCCAGGGTAATAATAGAAGGTGTAGAAGGGCACATAGGGGGGCCCCCTTGAGGGATTCTATTGATATATGAACTGCTTGCTGGAAATCAGCAGATGAAGCGCAAATGCAAAACTCGAAACCAAAAACCCGAAACCCCAAACCTGAAACTAAACCCTAGACTCTTGTACCATGAGCTGAAGATTGTCTGTTTGATGGCTCTATCTTAGGGGAATTATGGGGGTAAGGTATAATGGGGTATATTAGAGGGATACTGGTGGCATATTACACGTATTCTGGATGTATATGAGAGGTTTTCTGGGGCAGTATGGCTGTTCATTGATTGCTCGGGACCGCGTTCATTTTGGCTAGCTGGCGACCTCTTAAATAAGGTGACCGCCGGCCTGTCACCTTATTTGAAAGGTTGGGAAACCTCTACAAGATGCTCATTCTGACTGCTTAACGGGTGTGAGGGGGGAGGGGCCGGGGTCAATGGGGGGTCGGAGAAGGTTTCTGGGGCGAGATGGTGGTTGATTGGGCGCTGCAGGAGGCTCGGGAAGGTGTCGCGTCCGGAGAAGTGCTGGAAATTAAGTGCCGGCCAGCCAGTCGTCCGTACCGCGCCAGCACGAAGGAAGCTCACGCGTCGGTCAGCTCATGTTCCTTCCCGTAGCTCGGGCGCCCGTACTCGTCGGTTCCAGTTACATCCGGCCACGTTCCGGTTGCACGCCCGGCGGTTCCCGTTACCTGCGGCAGCAGTTACCGTTTCACCCGCCCCCGGTTCCGGTTACCCGTGGACCGGATTCCGTTTCACAGTTCGCGTTACGCCCCGGGCCGGTTCCCTTTACAGCCTACACCCCTCTGGTCACCGTATGCTCTTGGAACACGAACGGGATTACGGCTTGGGGCATGGATGGCATCATGGTTTGGGCATGGATGCTCTGGTCACCGTATGCTCTTGGACACGAACGGGATTACGGCTTGGGCATGGATGGGATTATGGTTAGGGCATGCGTGCTCTGGTTACTGTATGCTGTTGGAACACGAACGGGATTACGGCTCGGGCATGGATGCTCTGGTCACCGTGTGCTCTTGGAAGACGAACGGGATTGATTATGGCTGGGCATGGATGGGACTATGGTTTGGGCATGGATGCTCTGGTCACCGCATGCTCTTGGAGCACGAACGGAATTATGGCTGGGCATGAATGGGTTTATGGTTTGGGCATGGATGCTCTGGTCACCGTATGCTCTTGGAACACGCACTGGATTACTTCTTGGGCATGGATGGGGATATTGTTTGAGCATGGATGCTCTGCTCATGGTCTCCGAATGCTCTTGGAACAAGAACAGGATGACGGCTTGGGCATGGAAGGTATTATGGTTTGGACATGCATGCTCTGGTTATCATGTGCTCCTGGAACACGAACGGGATTACGCCTTGGGCCATGGATGGGATTATGGTTTGGGCATGGATGCTCTGGTCACCGCGTGCTCTTGGAGCACGAACGGAATTGCGGCTTGGGGCATGGATGGGATAATGCTTTGGGCATGGGTGCTCTGGTCACCGTGTGCTCTTAGAACACGAAAGGGATTACGGCTGAGGGCATGGATGGGATAATGCTTTGGGCATGGGTGCTCTGGTCACCGTGTGCTCTTGGAACACGAAAGGGATTACGGCTTTTGCATGGATGGGGTTATTACTTGGGCATGGATGCTCTGGTCACCGGCGTTACGGCTTGGGCATGGATGGGATCGATGCTCTGGTCACCGTATGCTCTTGGAACACGAACGGGATTACGGCTTGGGCATGGATGGGATTATTGTTCGAGCATCCATGAATTACGGCTTGGGCATGGATGGGATTCCGTGTGCTTTTGGAACACGAAAGGGATTACGGCTTGGGGCCTGGATGGGATTATTGTTTGGGCATGGATGCTCTGGTCACCGTATGCTCTTGGAACACGAACAGGATTATGGCTTGGGCACGGATGGGATTATGGTTTGGGCATGGATGTTCCGGTCACCGTATGCACTTGGAACATGAACGTTCTGATTTTGGGCATGCATGCTCTGGTTAATGTATGCTGTTGAAACACGAACGGGATTATGGTTTAGGCATGGATGCTCTGGCGACCATATGCTGTTGGATCACGACGGGAACATGGCTTTGACGTGGATGCTCTGGTCACAGTATGCTCTTGGAACACGAACGTGATTATGATTTGGGCATGGATGCTCTGGGAAACCGTACGCAAGGGGGTGGATGTTGTCACGGTTGTGGCATGGATGCTCAGCGAAAAATGCCATGCGTGGTAGCAGCACTGATTTTGAGGGCTCGGAAGGTCTTGACGCAGGCCAGTCCCGGTGGGCTCAGGTGGGAACGTTTTTTCTGCGCACTAACACCCGTAGGAGCCCCGAACAAGGTGAGTGTTGGATGAGAAGTCCCAAAGCCCTGGCTTCAAAACCTTTGCGTACAGAAACCCAGCGAAGCATAACGCGAAGTGATCACAGGCAATATCACACGGAAATCACACTCATGTACTTCCTAGCTTGGCTACAACTCAGCAGTCCTTGCATTTTTAAGCCAGGGGCTGCAGGTCCACTTGACAGCTTTGAAAGATTGAACGAAGGTGCGTCACTCCGTTGTACGTGCAAACGATCGAGGAGCTTGCTCATTATAGATTCAAATTTGCAAAAGCATTTCGTTGAAGCGACCCCCAACAACATTCTGAGCATCTGTTCCGCTTCAATGTCTTGACAGGTCTTGGAGTTTCGCTCCCTGATTGACCTGGAGCAAAAAAAAGTAAGCATGTCCGCAGGGTCGCGAACTTGAACAAGGGTGCATGTGGCTTGATGACCGCTCTTCCTCTGTGCATACGCTGGCACGACGCCACTCTTTGCCTACAAACACGAGCAGATGATGTTGCGGCAGGTTCTGGTGCGGAATTATGACAAATTAAGTTGAGCAGAAAGAAAGCATCCCCGCTGAAGCAAGGACGAAATCCAGAGGATTGAAGCTATGTCGCGCAACGAAGACGCAAGAGACAGCCTGTATATAGCTCAAAGCACAACAGTCATCTAACACACAAGAATGATGGCGCATGATTTGACGAGAAGCTTAGCAAGGACAGAATTGGAAGCTTAAGATGCTTTACTGCCTGTTAACTTCATGAAACTGGTAAAAAAAAAAAAAACTAATGTGAGGAATAAATGAAAGACAACTGAGAGAACAATACGAGCAAAACGACGAGAAGGATAACAATGAATAAATCACGACTACAAAAAATGATAAACCGACAATAGAATTGGCAACAAGCAGGAAACGATGAAATAGATATGAGAAATCGTTGTAAACAAATTCAGTGTAGCAAAGGCAAACATCAAAACATACAAATAGTTGTAGAAACCTCAAACACTTTGCAAAAAAACCTCGCAATCGTTGTAGAACTACTGTTCGAGGGCGTCGGAAAATTGTAACACACCCAAATAGTTGTTAAAGAAAATTGTACAAACATAAAAACCGCTGCAGAAAAAACAACGTTGTTAAAAACAACGAGGTCGAGGTAAAAACCCGTTTAATTGTCAAAATACCTATATCGTTGTAGATAAGGCCAAGTAAGTCGTTGTGAAAATGCATTCCTTGTTGTTTTGATGTGTGTGTTTTCCGAACTTTATGATGATCTTTTGCATGGATCCTTCTCAGTTACAATCTCATTGAAATTTACATCCTATTCTGTACTTTTTCCTCATACATAATATGAACAAGACCAAAACCTTACAAATGGAGGCCAGCCAGCACGGATGCATTTCGGCAGGCACTTAGAAGACTGATGACCCGAAAGCGCTGTTGGAACTTGTAGGGAACGCAGCTTGGACATTTGTTGCACGCACGGTTCGTGGGGGCGCGGCCCCAAGGCATTCCAGCGCTGATCCCTAGGCTTGCGTTTCTCACATGAAAGGCCTTGTGCGCTTGCCTTGCTAACTGTTGACTGGAAAGCTAGGCGCACAACCCGCCCGAAGCAGCGCCGGAGGGCAAAGCAGAGCCCTAGGCTCACGAGGTGCTGCAAAAAATGACTTTGGTTCTGTTGAGCCATGTATACGAATGTGCCTCCTGTGACATTTTGTGGCAATCACTGGTACTCTCGACACCGATCCTGGGAGCCGCACCGGAGCCAAGCTACCCGGGGCCAAGCCAGCAGGAGTCAGCCCAGGAGCTAAGCTGCCAGGAGCTAAACTTCCAGGAGCCAAGCCGCCGCTGCCCAGAGCTGTCTCCTGGAGCAAGGCTGCCAAAGACTCGTCTACACTTAAGCGATGTGAGTCTGCTTTTCCAAGCTCCTCCTCCTCTGTCGCCAAGGCATCCAAGCGACCAGCAGCAGAGCAAATTGGACGCAGCCTGCAGCACCGTGAGGCAATGCAGCTTCGGGGCAAGGTAATGCAGCTTCGGGGCAGGCGGCAGTAGAAATGAATTCATGCTTTGAAAGCAAGCGCGAGCGGCCTGTTACCGAGAGGGGTGCAATCGGTCTCAAAGTCATAGAATGTGTTCTTCACCTTACACAACACGCACCACCAGTCCATCGACAAAGTCTGACGTTGTCTGGAATTCGGAACCTTGAGCGCCTGCGCCATGGAAGCTGACATGCCTGGCATACCTGTCACACCGCGCTGCTCGCACGGACACCTCTCAGACATCCCATTCGCCTCTATCTATGTCATCATCGTCGTCAACCTTGACAAGTTCCGAGATGCTACGGTCACCCCAGCTCAACTACTCCTCTGTCTCTTTTGCTATCGCAGCCTGCACCGGCAGGGAGTTGGAGCTGAGTGAGCGGAGAGTCCCGAGCCTGCAGAACTTCCAGGCAGGCCAGAGAGTTGCGGTACTGGCGGCTCGGAAGAATCAGCATGTGCGGACAGGGCTCTTGATCTGCGCCGGCTCGCTCGGGATGAAAGGCTCATCCTCATCAAGGCCGCGCTCTGAATGTCTTACTGAATTTGGTTGGTTGGCACAACTTCTGTGATCGACCTGGGTTCTTGACCTCCCACTTCCCTGGCCTTCAGAGCTTTAAGCGGCTTGAAAGAATTTCACGGAACTTGCCGCGGTATTCCGCGATCGTCTTGAATGACGCGCCACCTGTGCACCCTTTCAATTCAGGACACCTCGAGAATCGAACCGATATCCAGGAACTGGAACCGAGGGAACCCTACCGCTGCACTCCGCTGAACAACCAAACCGTGCACAAAGCTTAAAAATCCAAGTGTGAGAAGGTTCATGAGCCCCATCCTTCAACCTGTAAACCACATCCCCAGACAAACAGGCGTAAGAAAATAGTGGCGCAAGAATCGCCATCTTGGCGGCTTCGGGCTCCAAATCCGACTTGCCCGTTCCTTCGGCTCCACATCGCCGTTCTGGTGGTGGGCTGGCCGACAAAGCTGGTCCAGCGCTTGATTGGGCACTGGAGGGCCCCTACGCGAATCATCATCATTCCCCCGCTCACGCCAGACTGTGAAGCAGCTGGCATGATTCCCTGCAGCGCGGGTGGTTTTGGGTTCCTCCTGCCTTGGTGGGCGACGTGGGCCCCAAACAGTTGAAATGATGATAAATGATGATTGACGGGCCCACGCAGAAAAAACATTTCGCTAGCTTTCAGCTCCGAAACAGTTGAAATCATGATTTGGGGGGAGGCCCACATGGGGGGAATCACCATCCTCCAGGCCTGGTCGGGGGACAGGGGAATCACCATTTCGGTTGTTCTGGGCTCCAGAACAAAAGTGAAATGGTGATTCCCCCGCACGTCCGGGTGCGCCACGCACAGCACTCCAAAAGCAATTGGGGGGTGCAGGGGAATCACTGTCGAGGTGCTTTCAGGCTCCGAAGAAGATTAGTGGTGATTCGCTCCCGCCTGGGTATTTACATGGACTGTGCACGTAGATTTCAAGGCTCAGAACTTCCCCGAAATGCATCGAAACGTGGAAAACCCTTACGGATTGGTGATGTGCTCTGGAGTTTAGTCTAATGCTACAAAATTGAAGAAACGAATCGTCCGAACGGCTGAACCGAACCAGACAGAACTTTACGAGGTTCCTTTCAGACTCGGCTCCTACAAACCGATCCGAACCGAATCAAAGCATCCCTGGCCATTGGCTGAGGGCCTCAGCTTCCTCCGGCAGCGGTGCGGAGTGGCCAAGCCCTGACGAAGGAAAATGGCAAGGAGAAGGCATGCAGTCACAGTTTCACAACGAAGTGCTTGCCTCTTGGAAGTGCACCAACAGACCCAACTTCCCGCTGGGAACCAACAGCTTTGCTTGTTGGCTCCTGGGCTGGAGCTGGAATTTCAGGCATCGCTCTCGCCTGCGTAGCAGCAGCATATTATCTTCTTACACCCCACACAACACTTGGTCCCCGCGCTTCGGATGAAATCGGTGACATTGGTGAGGAGGCGAAGTCGCTGAGATTGCTGTAACCATTCGCAGGTCCTCAACACATGCGAGGGTCTGCTTGCTCACTGCAAATACTGCAACGGCCACACGGCTTCTGCCTCCAGAGTGGTGGTGGATGTATTGTGCCACAGCCTCAAAACAGGCCAATCTCTAACGTCAAGCGAGCATGTCTCAGGGCAAATCAGCAGTGCCCATGGCCTTGGCCTGCGCCTGCAATCGTATCGCCTCAGCCACATGGGCCTGGGCCGCTGAGTTCATCTGCTGCATCGCTTGCGCTGCCTGAGCACGTGAATCCAATGCACTCAAGTTCTTTCCATCTGCCAACTCAGCTCCGAACAACTTGTTGTGTAACCGGTGCTTCCTTCATTGCCTGGGCGATCACATGCAGTTCTGTTGCCTTGTGAGAGTCTGTGCCAGTATGAACCTGAAGCTTGAGTGGGGAGGGCACGATGGGCACAAGTAAAAGAGGAGCTGTCTCTGATCACTTCTAGCAAGCTGGGTAACCTTTGGGCACTGTGCCAGTCATGCTCATGTCAGAACTGTTGCACAAGAGATCGTGGCAAGCGGAAGAAGGCAGCATGCAAACACTGCCCTGTCCAGCATTGCAAGACAGATGCCCTTCTTCTCACGTTTGTGTTTGTCATGCTCCCAAACGATTCTTTCGGCTCCTTCGACTTCATTGCAAGAACCGGTGCATGTTTGTGTCTTCCTGAACTGCAAAACAGGTTGGACCCTTCTTCCCATCCCATCGGGCACCAAGCACATCTTCATGCTTTCCATCCCACCCCCTTCCCCTACCCCTTCCTTTTTCTTTCCTCCCCGCCTTCTTCTTTCTTCCATTCTCCCTCTGTACCAAACCCTTTTGCTTGCCGGCAAACTAACACTTAACCACATCGCGGCCTAGTTCTCCCTCCTGCCTTTGGCCTTATTCCAAGCAGCGAATTATTCAAGCCTGGTTTTATGCATGTTGTTTTCACGGTGGCTGTCTGAGCGTGTTACGGGTTGTTGATATGAAGGTTTGGTGAGTGTGGCCTTCATGCAGGTTTTATGGGATTTTAATGCTGGTTTTAGGGACTAGGGCTTCGTAGAGTTTACAATAATTCTATGATGGTTGTTTGGCATGTATCGGAGTTTTAGAAGCGAATCCAATGCGTTTTCGGGTGGTTTCATCGGGGTTTACAATGGTTGAAGCATTTTCAAAAGCAATGGAGGACAATTTTGATCTTAATATCAAAGGTACTTGCAAAAAAACATCGTAGAACGGTGGGTTGTGAGGGGGTTTGGGCTCAGTTTTGAAGCCAACGTTAGCATTGGCATCATCATCATGAATCATCATCATCATCATCATCATCGGCATAACTGGGTCTTCATTTCTCATGTTGTGCAGAATGAACATGACTAGGGTTCTAAAAATGCACTGGAATCTTAATTAAATGTCACATGTCTTGTATCAGAAGGAAATGGAAGCCCCGCAATGCTCATGGAGTTGATTTCTTGAAGCTGTAGGGGCTTAAGTGTGTTGTAAACGCAAAAGCAGAGCTGCCGGCAATACCTACGATTGTGAAATAAAAGGAAAATGTTTTTAGGAGCACGGAGCACTGTTGTGGCATGATGGTCACGCACGTGGATTTGCACGGGTTACAAGCAAACGCGTGCTTTGCCGGCTTTGCCAGCTTTTTCGTGCAAATTTTCAGCCAGAGTCCCCGTGTTACTATTGCACACAGCTGAAGGCCAGGAAATCTGGGAATTGTTGCTTTACAAACTCACAAACATTCTTCCCCCTCAATTATTACATGCGCCCTCGCGCATTTTCCTCCTTTTACACTCTTTTACACACCTTTCACAATTTGACAATCCCCACGGTCAGTGAACCAGAACCTGCATCCTTTTCCAAGACTTGTTTTGAGAAAATGTGCACTGCACCATTTTCCTCATAGCAGCACCATCATCACTAGGCGTGGTAAACCCCAAGCATCCGGTCACCACAACGCAGACTGTCGCGTGCTTGCGCTGTTCTTCACGCCAATAGCGCCTTATGTGAGGGATACTAGGATACTCCACGGGGGTCCACTCATACAGGTAGGGTTGGGTAACAGAAGACAATTCCTTGCCTCTGATTTTCGCTCAACTGACAAATTTGATCCAAAATAGCAGCAAAGAAAATTCAGTGTTTAATGAAACATGTGCACCCAAGCCTGACAAACTCTACACATGGATACATTCAGCACTGTTCTTCTCTCTCAACCACTATGCCCCGTTGCACATTCTTCTCCTTTCACACGGCATTCACAGTCTTAAATGTCAGTGAGTCAGAACTTGGATGGAAAGTCGGCTTCGAACAGTGAAAACGGCTGGTTCTGTACCAGGGATCGGCGGCTCCAAGCCGACTTATTCAATCCGACCAATGATTTTAAGAGGGCACCCATTCCCAACAAAACCAAGCTTGGAAGGGAGAACAAAGCTGCGCGAATGAGACATGCCAGCTTTTCGAGGTCCGGAGCGGCGGAACTCAAAATGCCCCCGGTCAATACCATGAGCGCTGCCAAGTTGGCAATAAGTCATCGAGTGAGCACGCGCACTGAATGCATAGAAATTCATGGAAGGTTGATTGAGTAGATCCGAGAGCCAATACTGGCGACGAGTGCTTCCCTGTCACGTACGCAAGAGGAATCCATCCGTATACCTCGCCCAAGGGCATCTTCGGCAAGATCTACGAGCAACATAAAACGGGCCAGCAAATCCGCGGTCAACTCCTTTGATCTTTCAGGCTCTCAGGACCCCATAAGGTTTGCAGGCGGTACCCGCTGAGAGGATTCCGTGTCTGCTGTGAGGAGCACAATCTCGATTTTTGCTTGCAACCTTTCGCGCACCCAGAATGTCCCTGCAAGAATCGGCTAGTCGCTGAGGCCCAGATACGTGCTCCACGCACATATATATATATATATATATACGTTGGCGCTTGTCAGGTGCAAAGGGGTGTCCCCAGCAACTCGCTAATTAGTCCAAAGGGATCGAATTACAACGAAAGGAGCAAGCACAGCAGCCGCCGACTCACCGCTTCTGCGAACCTCCTGATTGGGGAAGTGAAATCTGGTAGCCTGGCAGCCTGGTTCCCAGCTGTCTCGCCACCACGCGCCGAAACAACACAGCGCCTACTCCCTGCGCTGGGCGCAGAGCACTGCAAAGCACCAACATGTTGGCATCGCTGCAGATACAGCCGTGTGAATGACCACCCTGGCCCTGGCTGCAATGTCAATGATGCTGAAGATTGGGCGGTCACACACCGTGGAATTGGCCGGAAGGGGGCTCCTCCTATGGCTCTCAACAGCTGCTTAATAAAAAGGAGTCGCGGGGCCTGGCCCAATGGATCCTCACATCCGCTTATTGTGGCTTCACGCCTTCCAAGACCATGCTGAGGGGGACGAAATCCTGTTGCGGGCACACGCCCGACATATAAGATGCGCGCACTGCTGGCATGCCGATGAACGCCAGGGAAGGAACATGTCACTCCAAGACATGGGGAAACCAAGCTCCTGCTCCGCTGTCACTTGTCGGCGATTTGCGCAATTCAGAAACGCCTCAGATCCCAATAGACGCACGCGTCTTCGCCCTAAATCAAAAGGAGTGGTCAATTGTCGGTTCTGCTGCAACAAGAAATAACAAGAAAATCCTTGTCCAGAACAGGCTTGCTCGGTGGGGAGTCTGCCATCGAGAAGAGGTCAATGTTTTTCCTGGTTTCTGCTCTTTGGCTGTCCTCAAACCCCGCACAATGCGCTCGATGCACCCGCTGTGACAAAGGTGTGTTTGAGCCCTGGCACAAAGCAAGGCCCGCCTGGGGACTGGCAACCCCACATAGACACGGCCCGCCAGCACGGTTTCCTCTTCTGTAGGCGCTCAGCCCTAGCCCTAGTGAGAATGCAAGAGCAAGTTGCGGAGGGCTGCCGGGTCAGCATCTAACCAGTGCCCCAGGGCAAGACGGGCGATCTCGTCGAGAGATAGACGCAACTCCATTGAGTAGATATAGAGTCCCATGTGTTTGGGGAGTGAGTGTCACGGCGTTGCAAAAAGCGGGAAGTCTGCCATCTCTTAAGCGTTGCATCGGAGGCGTCCACATACCAGTTTCCCACATCGCTTCCTCACAGGCCAAGTCCCAGCGAATGCTTCGCAGGGGTGCTTCCTCAATGCACCTCCACCTCGCACAACGATATTCCAAGTCATCCAAGATACAGATCGGGCAAGCATCATATAAAGAACGGCCATCTCGGAGCGGAGCGACCATTGCCAAAATCACTCATGTATAGGCATCCTTGCCTCGCTGGGACGGACAAGTCCTAACTCGAGTGACTCGTGTCGAGCTCCCGGTCTGCGGGTAGCCGCCAGCCACAGGGCAGGAACGCTGGCTCTCATCGCTTGGCCCACACATAAGATCTGCCATGATCTGCCATAGCGGGGTTACGGATGGCTCCGCACGGCCGGACTGGGCGAGGCGGAGGCCATTTGGGGCACCGTCAGCCCGTCGGGCTTTAACCCTGCTCCATGCCCTGGATAGCCGCAGACTCTCGTGCCCCGCGAAACGATGGCACATTTGCGGGTGCCATTGCTGCACTGAGCTTTCTCTTTGCAAGTGACTTTCTGGAAGCATTCGCACACGCAAGTGGCGAGGATGTTAATATTGAATTCGGACCTGGCACTGTGAACCAGTGCGCCTAAACCCATGAATTCGCACACGACTGTTCCTGTAAGGACCGCTGGCCTACTCTGAGGCGAATTACCCCCTTGTAGGGGGCTTCAACAAAATCCGCCGAGTTGACCCCCGACGTCCTTGCCAGGCCGCTGCCAGCGCCTGCCAGATCCGGACCGCTCACCACAGACCAGCCATCAATCCTGGTTTCAGGAATAGTGACAATTAGCCGAAGTAGCCGATGAAAGTGGCCAGGCAGAATGTGCCTTGCCTGCAGAAGGGATGCAAACCGCGGCACTGACAAATGCTTCCAGCCAGGTCACGCCTGGCACAGTTCGTTCGAACACAAGGTGCTGTCCGCATTAGTGGCAAAGGCCCTTCCCCAGCCCTACCGGACAATACCGCAGGGTAATGCTGAATTTCCTCTGCGCTGGCCCACAACATGATTGCAGCATCGGGCATACCTCGGATCCCAGAGGCTTTGGATCTAGCAGCGGAACTCCAAAACCACCGCGGTTGACGACAAGGACGCAAGCGCATATATGCCCACAATCCGCCTCACCAAAAACTCAGCAATTCCTTGCCAAAAAAGACAATTCCTTGCCTCTGATTTTGGTTCAACAGCCAAGCTTGATCCAAAATGGCAGCACGGAAATCGGTGCTTCATGAAACATGTGGACCCAAGCCTGCCAAACTCTACACATGGATTGTGAGTAGGTAAAAAAAATAGAAAAAGGCATGCAAGCTGGCTTGGATAGTTTTCAAGTCTTTTGCGCCATCCATATCCCTACCGAACCCAAAACGAGCCCCAAATTATGCTGTACGGAGCACACATGTGCCCCGGCAGAAGCATCATCAGCAAAAGTGGGTGTCTTGGGCCGGAAGGCTGGGAAAGTAGAATCAAAACCCAGTGTAGTGCGAACAGGAGCTCATCCTGCTTCTCGACGTGGCCAGATAACCAGGAGAAATTGGCGCCAAGATTTGGGGCAGTTTGGGGGCGTGTAGGGGGCCAGCTAGGCCGGCCAGTGCCGCCAGGCCCTAACCCTGAATGTCACTAATATGATGACCAAGCGCAGAGCACTACTTGTGCCTTTGCGCAACCATGCCTGGAAAAACAGCTCCACAGCCCAGAACAGATGAGACCACAAGACAGCATTGAAACTACCGCTGTTTAGAGGCCTGTGTGTCCCCAATTCCCGCTTCGGTGTGGGGTTTGGGGTAGAGAGGATGGTATGCCAACGAGAAACAAAAGGATGCAAAAGCAAGTGGCTGGGAGCAGGTAAATCTGTGCTGTTTATGATCTTCGTGAAGCTTCTGAATCCTTCTGCTTGCTGCATTCAGAAGTGTCGGGCCTGACAACCGGAACGGGCCGCGAAACTTGGCACCAAATTTCCAGGAAACGCAGGCGCTGAAGTGGTTGCTGCTCAGGCCAGGGCGGCCAAGGATGGCTTTTCCGGCGGGAGGGATGCCGCTGTTGCTGTTGGAGAGCCCGGTATGCACATGGTGGGGTAATCGCTTGCGGAGACCTCAGACGCGCCAAAAGTCGCTGCTTCCTCTCTGCAAATGTAAAGGGCGAACTATCAGCCCCAACAGCTTGCAGCCAAGCATCAATTGATGGGACAAAGAAGATGGGAGTTCCGCCGATGGCCATCAAGTTGGACTGAGCAGAGATACTTCACTGCGCATGTGCGCAGCTATGGAGTGAGACAAAGACAGCCTCCGATAATTCTCTCCGGCACCCCTGCCTGATAGAGCGGCTGGCTCTGAGCCGGCTTCTGATTCTGCCCATTCACCTGGCCCAACCATTCAACCAGGAAATCTCAAACACAAGAAATCGGCTGGCTTTATTAAACGGCGGGTGGCTGGGTAAGCCCTTAACATGTCATGCAACATGCTGCACCCAACCGTCCTCCCCTACCGCTTTCAGAACGAAGCGGAGAGTGCGGTAGAACAAGATCAGAAGTTGTATGAAGAAGAACTGCACAAGCAGCTTCCGTGACCCTCGAAACCAGCAGGTCTTAAATCACCATTCCGAGTCATCTAGCAAGCCTAGCTTTCCGCGCTAACACCACTGAGCAAAGCTTGGTCTCACCGATGCTGTTCAAAGACAGCTTTCAGATATTATGCGATCGCCGATCGCCGCAATCAACTGCTGCAATCTACAGCCTTTACGCATGTCATGTCTTCATCTGTTGTAATGAGACTGAGAGCGATCATGCCAGTTCATCTTGTTTCAGCTGTGTGGTCCAGGACAGGTGGCACCGTTTTTTTTCATCATGCCGTGACCCGCTTCTCTGGGGTCGTAGCCTGCACCTCAACAGTGCTCTGTCTTTCCTCTGCAATTCTGAAACAGGTTTGGATTTGCCTTTATCGAGATGCCGGCTTTCTGAGACGTGCTACGACAAGTACAATTATTTCCGGCCACGCTCCCCATATTCCAGTCGCGTCCATATCAACCCTCGCCCCCGCCCCTGCCCCACCCTTTCCATTTTAGGCTACAATTGCCTCATTGAAACTACCTTTATGCTTCCGTAGCTGTGCAGCCACATCTTTGTTCAAAAGTGTTGCGGCTGCGCGCCAGTGCCTGGTGAGCCTAAAGTTGCGCACACATGCAGATTCTTGCCGAGGCACAAGCTATAAGAGTCGGCGTTAGCCGAGAAGCGTCCCTTGTGGTCACAAAAACCGCCTGCTGATTTCTTGATTGGCGTTCAGCTCGTTAGCGGCAAGTGCTCTTCGATGAAGTTAGTTTCTCTGAACACTTTGTGTCTCAGTGTGACGACGCTACACATGCACCCGGAACATGCTTTGCATCCCAGGAGGTTTTTGCCTTCATGGAAACCTAAATACTCGTGCAATGCTTACTTCCCGCGAATGTGGATGGCTGGATGAGCGATTCCATGTCATGCCATCTTTCCCTCTTTCCCACGATCGTTTGGAGCGAACCTTCGCAGAGAAGCATCCCAGCCCGATTCAAACGGCGTCTCCGCGCGCCCACGTTGCAAGCAATGCGGTGCCTTGGGCTCATCTGCGTGTGACCGCGCTGGTGGGTGTGACCGTCCAGCTTGCGATCGGTTCCTGCAATTCCCACGCTGTGTTTGCAGCTGGGATGCCCCCACATCGAACATTCTATGACAAGTCCTCTCAATCTCCATCTCAAGGAGCTCGAGCTGCTCAAGCTGGATCGCCCTTTCTCGCTGATCGGCTGCGGAGAAGCCCGGCACAATCCTCAACCTCAGCTTGACTGGTGCAAAGTAACAACGGCTCTTTAAAAACACGCCCAAATCACGCCTTACACAAATTTATGATATTTATGACACAGGGAACAGTCGTCAGTGTTCTGCACAGTTTCGCAGATGTCAAAAATTGCCAAGACACTCTTCCCTGCTGTGTGCATAGGTGCACGTGGGGTCCTGACGAAGGGTGAAACGAGTCATCTGATCTGCTTAAGTGGGAAAGGAGCTGAACTGGCAGCTTGAACACGTAACGTGTCCTCACAGCGTCCCGTTTGAATCATCTGCTTGCAAATTTTGGTACGAGCAAGGTCTGGCAAGCCCTGCAGCTCACCTGACAGATAGCAAGCAGCCAAAAAGATGATAGTACTGATCGAACGGGGCCCGAATAGGGCCCAGCGCTTGCTGCAAAGCTGCTTTGGTCGTGTGCAAATCGGCATTGCCCCCCTCTCCTGACAGGCCAAGACCCCTTCCACATTCAGACCATGTCTTCTGAACGCACCTACTGAAGTTACTTCATGGCCAACCTCCAACGAGGTAGCCACTCTAGTTCTAAACTTAGCGCCGGCAAGGCACTGACAGCTGCCCATCAGATGGAACTTGCACATCCTGGGCTGCGCAGGGCCAGATGATTTGAACTTCTGAACTTCCACGTGAAAGTTCCACGTGACCAAAACACAAGCTTGTCTCTGCTGCAATGCCATGCATTTCATCCGAGCGGCTTCGTTTTCTGAAAAACCTGCGAGCGATCTGTGTATGCAGGACACTGCTGGAGGGGGCTAGGGTCACCGCTGCACAAAAATCCAGTAGATGTCAACAGAACTTGCTATCCCGCCTGTGTTCTCTCTGCGCGTCGGTCCTCATCTGCCTGTCCTCGCCTTCCCCGCCTTCTGCCTCCGGCGGCGTGCTCCATGGCGAAGGCTTCACGGCACGCCTACTGGTAGGAGGCCAAAAAATCTTTGTCCCAGTGCTTGTCAAAGAGCTCCAAACTCTTCTCTGTTGGAAACTCTTCCATGTCTGACATCTTTGCCGCTTACTGGTTCTTGCACATCAACTCACCACAAATCAAGCTTTTGCTGTAGCCAGCTGTGATATCAAACGGACGTCAAAGAAATGGTGAACTTGCAACATTTCGTCCCAATTGGGCTGATTCCACCCCTGTCATGCAGCAGGATGCTCACTCACAGCGAATGAGAAACAGTTCCACTCTCTCTCGACTGAAGGAACTTGCCACAACGCCTTTGGCTTGTCGCTGCTGCTGTCACTTGCTTTCAGCCTGTCCAGCTTAGCTCGGCTTGAGTGGCGAGGGAGCGGACACCATGCCAGGAGCACAAGGGCTTCAGCGAGAGGAGCCACGGCTCCAGAGAGGCTTCTGGAGTTTTCAGTGTCAGGCTTTGACCTGGAAGAGGGTCTTAGCAATCGCTCCACTGACAACGCCGGCCAAGAAAGGCACCTCCGACCAAAATCAGCGAAAAGCCATCCTCCTGAACCTGCAGCGGCCGTCACCCTCGCCAATTCACTTCACTCCATGCACCCAAGACCAAGACAAAGGGAAGCAACCGGCAAGCATCGCAAGCATCGCAAGCATCGCAAGCATCGCAAGCATCGCAAGCATCAAATCATATTTCAAAAACTGCTCGTAGTGAACGGACGGATGATACGGATGGTCTGGCCTCGAGTTTTTCGACCTCACCTAGGGTGAGGCGCCCGCGCGGCTCTAACTTTTCATCTGCCTCCGTGGCAAAGTAGTCCAATCGGTCCTACTTCGCACTCGTTGCATCTGCGCAGCTAAATGCTAACCTTGCATCCTGTTGGAAGACGTCCTTGAACAAAACGAAAAATCGCTGTTCGATGCCCTTCTTCTTCTGCACGCCCAAGGTTCTTAGAAGCCGGCCGCAGATTTCACGCGAATCAGTGAAAGGCAAGCGCATCAGTCGAGGTATCGGCTCCTTGCGGATGACTTCCTGCATTGCAAAGCATCGCAATTGGGCATGAGACAGCTCACCGTCACTCACTTGAGCAAGACGAGTTCGTTCCTGCTGAGCCATGCTCAAGATGCAGTCAGTGGCATCACTTTGCCCCACCTAGGAGGTATGCAGCACGTTGGCGAGGCTGGACAGCACCACATGCACTGCAAGACTTGCCAAAGCAAGCACTTGTTAACGTGCGCAGATGCGCGGTATGAGGCGACCGGCAACACCACCCCAAATGCTACATGTCTGGTGAGTCGAATTGACGGGATGGCATGTAAATAGTGTATCGGATAGTTAGCAGTAGGATTCAAGAAAGCCGTCATCATACGATAGCATCAGCAAGGGGGCCACTAGCATCAGCTGCAGGAGTTACAGGGCTGAATGGTATTGGCAAATGTTCCCCTTGACTGCTCCTCGGCCTCGCCTCTGATTTCCCACCAAGTGGAGCTCACACATCCCAAAGCTTTGCTTCCAGTTCCACGAGGTCCCATGCACATTTAGCTGGGCAGGCGGGGCATATCTAAGCGTGGAAAATGGGCTGGCATGATGGGCCACCGTATGGGTACAACGCGGTTCGCCGAGCTTGGCAGATGCGCCGTGCTCTGCTGAATTCTTGTCATGTTTTAAATGTCGACGCCGTTTTGCTGCATTGCTCCCTTGAGGGTTTTCAGGGAATGTCCACCTCATGGCACAAGCAAGAAGAGGTCCGTCAAAGCATCGCCGGCATTCACGCCTCTGAGCTCTTCACCTCTGGGGAAATGCCCTAAATTAACTGACATTTGAGCCGAAATGGATACCAACAGCCACTGTCATTCAAGCAAGTAGCATGGCATGGTGCAATGAGGCCCACGTTCTAGGGTTGCTAGAGGCAACTTTTGCATGCCTTTGCAGCTTCCGCGCGTCCACCATGGGTCTGATTCAACTGTGTTTGCACAGTTGCCTGAATCATTCCTCGCTGGTCCTCCCGCTGCAGCACGCTGTTGTCATGTTGGCCACTGCAGGCTGGCACCTTGATCACCTCAAATGCATGCTGTGCTTGGAACCTTCGCGACAAAGTTGCGTATCTACAACACCCGACGGCGAGGGACAGCGGGGGCCAATAGATGTTCCTGAATTTCAAATGCTTGTACCGCCTGGTTTCAGGATGGTCTCCTCCATCAACATTTTGGAGAACCGCCCCTCTGGAGAATGGAAAATCAAAAGTCCGCAGAGGTCGAAAACATGGCTGGCAGTTTGCCAGTCCTCTTGGCCGCAAGCAATCTTTGAAATCAAGTTGCACGCTGGACATTCCTTACTCGCACTTGCTGGCGGCACAAGCTTCAAAAGCAACATCCCGGCGCCCTAGGGGCATTCCTTGTAGGAACTTCAGCCTGCAATCTGACAACATCTGACCACATTGACTTTGATGCAGCCTGACGGCCCCTGTTGTCATTAGAGCACCGCCACGGCTCCAACCTGCACGGCGGCTCCGAAGTGAAGGCTGAGGCATGTCAGAGCTGGTGCTCCACTGCTCCACCTCGGCCTCAACATCTTCAGCCTCGGCCGGGTCACTCCACCGACCATGCCTCAGTCAAAGGGAGATCTGGTGGATTTTGGCAGATTGCAAGCCGCGCATGCGCATCGCGTGCGCACAGTTGATCCTCAGTGGCAGGCTCCTTGATGAGATCCACAAGGGCCTTACAGGCGCACTATAAAGCACAGCAGAAAAAACTCTTGAGAATGAAGTGTTCAAATCCTCTTGCTGCAAGAAGCAGCGTGCCTCGACTGCTCCCGCCGACGGAATGCCCCTCTTCACGCAGTCATAGTTGACGTATAGGTCCACCCTTTGGCATGCATGTAAAGGGTTGCCTTTCATGCAACAACATCGGTACCACAAGAATCACCATCTACTCTCATGAGATCTCGCAGTCCCAGGCCAAAATCGTGTCCATCGGACTGAGATCCCAGCTTGCCAACTCCACTGCCAACCTTTTTGTGATCGACAACAACTGCTGAGGAGGTCCAAGACTTACTCCAGAAGTGCAAAGAGCGCAACATTATTGCTAGTTAGACTGTTGCAACCTCAGGTGGCCTTCTACTTGCTGCAGGTACACTGATATTTGAAGCAAAGCTGCAGGATGAGGTATCCCAGCGTGATACATTTTTGATACAACCCCATCTCTCGGACTCCTTTACATGTTCTGCTGTCTGCTTCCGCCTTCATTTCCATATTGCACAGGACCATGCACGCTGATGCAACCACGCTGCATACCCAAAATCGGCATCGGCCATCTCTCCAGGCCTTCCAGTACGACTCAATACAGGCCCAGCAGGATCACAGATGTCTGCTGCATTAAACTTGCCAGCCAGAATTGGCATTATGACAATTGAAACAACTTGGCGGCCCCGGTGTCAAGCAAAGGAACAGCCTAGAGATCCTCGACTGGTGTCTACTCTCATGGAAGCATATGGAAGCCACAAAGAAAGCTGAAAATCCAATGGTTTGCAGCGGAGAGGTTAAAAACCTGATTTAGCGACCAAGAGATGTGAAGTCTCCCTTCCAACTACTGAGCTTGATGTTAGGGCAAGGCAGACTGCCTGGGGGTGAGGGAGCCTCGACCACCTCAACAAGTTTAGAAAGGTTTGAGTTCAACTGCTCCCAGGATGGGGACACTAGACTTAGACACCAGGATCAGCACACGAAATGAAGTCTTGACTGTAAGCAAAACATGCTTGGTGACTGGGGCCCATGCCCATTGACAATGCAACCCATGACGGCAATACGGACGCCTCCCAGAAGCTGCTTTAGCGCGTAGCTCTCTCGGTGCAGATACGCGATCTGTCCTGGCAGGTGTCCAGTTCTGGCTTGGATCTTGGCCGTTGTTTCCTGCCTTAGCATGTCATTATCTGAAGCGCATGAAGAATTTGCAAGACTTCCGATTGCTGAGAAGGATGCAGGTCGAACAACGTGCGACCACAAGATGGACAGCTGATGAACTCTGTCTTGGAGATGCGCATGCGAGACGCCTTCCAACATCTCAAGGTTGAGATGCCATCGGTATCCCAGTAGCAGTAGCCCCGTTGCGTTCTCTTCAGGCGCAGATCAGGTCAAGAGCAAAGCATGGTGCCTGCAGAAGGTTAAAAGAGGATTCCCGCAACTCATCAGCCGAGAGGTCCTGACATTTCACTCGCAAAGACCTGAAAATTCCAAGGTCAGAGTAGCTTGCTGTGCGTGAGCTCGTGAGCTCGTCTGCCTCCGCATCCCAGAGCAGACCTTCGCCCATTCCATCCTGAGCTTGGAAGCGACAAAAGTTGCACCGCAGCACTAGCCGTGAAACCCATGTCTTACTCACGGACTTCAGCTCTAACATGATGATACATGATATCTCAACTTTGCATGCACAGTCGACTATATTCTACACATTGCTGCTGCGTATCCACGAAAAGGCTGCCGAAGTCAGCAGATGCCTCCACAACCTCAGCACCGCTATCTCTGGCCAACTCTAGCCTCCCTAACACCACTTCAGAAGCAGTTCTTGGGTTCGGTCCTCAGAGGGGCTGAAGGCTTAAGGTCCCGGCGACATCATCCTGATCTTTGCCGTCTTCCTGCACACAACAGCGTCAAAAGCTCGCGCAATACCTCTTTTATTCCTTTTGAACGCAAGTTGGTATCTCTCGCATATCTCGCTATTGGGAGCCTTGGCATAGTCAAACCAAAGCATGGTGGGAACCTTGGCCAAAGCGTCTGAATCAGCTGCAGCTGCCATGTGAAAGGAGAGCCACTGAGAGCTGTACAGACTTGCCTTTTTCCAGCTGGCTCAGCTGCGCAAAGAATCTGGAACAAAGTCCAAACTTCAACATGCAAAGTGAAAACAGCTGGTGATTGCAGACTTCAGGATTAGCTTCAAAGCGAGCCGCGAACCCGGGAACCGACCAGCAGGAACCGGATTGTTAATGAATCGAACTGTTAAAGAAGCGAATCGCTGTGAACCTTAGAAAACCCAACCTTGGGAAGGTTCCTCTGCAAACCTCTGGGGCTGAGGGTGCAGGTATGAGTTCTTGGTGGTAAAGAGATCCTTATACCCCGTATATACCCTGAAACTAGGCCCTTTTTTCATTCCACGTTATTGCCCACCTGAAAGTTTCTTAGGAATGGCCTTCAGAGAACTCCTAAGAACCCACGTGAACCCAGGTTCCAAACTATTCTCTATTTTCTTTTCCACTTGACTCTCCACTGTTCGGGGAAAATAGATTCCCACACACAGCAACTTGGAAGACGCCGTTCACAGCTGCCCTTTCAGCCTACAAATCGCAGGCCTGAATACTTGAGCCCTTGGGTAAGGAACTGGAGCAACTGTCAAGCCAAACTGTAGGAATCGAACCGTCACGAATCGGCACAAATTTCATGGAAGGTTAGATTCCTGACAAACCAAGACGAATGGAACCATGGCCACCCTTCGCACAAAGTCATGAAATGACGTAACACCCCATCGCACGGGAGAAAATTATTTACTTCGAGCATCCCCACCCTAAAGCCGTCATTTCATTGCAC